CCCCCCCCCCCCTTCCTCCTTTCCTCACGGTCGTTGTGTATCGCAGGGCATGGTCTGGGGCGTCCACCGGACAATATATCTCGTCCTCCTCGTGGCTTTCTACTGAGCAGTCTCCGAGAACCACCTGCGGGTTGAGAGACCCCAACCACTTCAAGAATGTTCCGGGTATGACAAAGGTTTCGCGGGATGAAATTGTGTCCCCACGGCATCACTGACCAGGCGTTTCACTTGCTACTTCGTGTAGAGTTGCTTGATCGTGCAGAGAGTCCAAAGTGATCTGCTCGAGAAGATCGTCGTGTCCATAGTCGGGGGGCTCACGTTGGGCATGCATAATGATTTTGTGCATTCAAGCTGATTCAGAGTGAACGCCGTTTTTGGTTAAAAGGGGAATGTTCACGGTTTGTTTCTCGAGTAGCATTTGCACAATATCATCTTCCTTGCTTAACATGGAAGGCCGACTTCATCTCCTTTCTTTCGTTTGTCGCCGATGATCCGGATCCCAGGGTTCGGAATGGGTCTGTTAGAACCAATAATATTCGGGGAAAGAAAACTTATGAAAAAGCCCCGGTCTTGTCGAAGGTTGCCGGGACCCTTGTGTACAACTCGCCTTTCTTCGAGAGCTTTCGTCAAAGAGCCATCGGGACCGTTAGGGGTATCAAAGCGGCGGAATTTGGGGCCAAAAAAACGTCCGGTCCATTCGGCAAAATTTGAGGGGGGCACGCGGATTTGGTTCTTTTTTGGTTCTTGAGAATCCCGCTGTTAATACTGAATAAACTATACATCAAGTCAATTTGTTTGTACAGGTAGCTCTGCGTCCACACAGCAGGATGGCTCTTCATGCGTTGCACACACCTTGATACAGGTCCAATAGAGGTGACTATTGGATTGGATTCTCTTGAAGTTAAAGGGCGGACGAACAACACCAAAAAAACATGGTTCTTTGGGCTCTTTGCTCCACGCCCAAGGCGACCTTTGCTCCTCTTGAAAAAGCGACCCAATAGCCCTCTACCTTGGGTTTACAGCTATACTACACAACAAACCGCATCCGAATCGCATCAGCCAACCACGAGATCTACATGTCTGAAAACGGCCCCTCCAGTGGGGCTGCAGCACCCACGCCAGCAGACCCCAAAAAAAAAAAATCGAGATCCACGCCGTTCGGCAGCAGGAGGCGCGCCCAGCGAAAGCTGAAAAAAATCAAAACTAAGTTTGAAGAGAGGACGGGGATGTCTGTGGCTGAGGCGTCAGCAGCAGACAACACCCGGCGCGCTATCGAGCGCGGCGGCATCACCGCCGCGCAGAAAGCGCTGGAAAGAACGAAGGAGGAGCTGGCCGAAAGTAGGAAAAGTGAGGAAGAGAGCAAAGCTGGTTGCAGCATGGCTCTGGAGTTTGCGCGCGAGAAAGACGAGGAGCTCAAGTCGGAGCGGGCATGGAGACAGCAGGCCGAGCAGGAGAAACAGCAGGCCGAGCAGGAGAAACAGCAGGCCGAGCAGGAGAAACAGCAGGCCGAGCAGGAGAAACAAGCGATTGGGCGAGAGAAGGAGTCGGCGGTGGCGGGACAGCGCCAGGCGGAAGAGAGAGCCCGCGCCATGGAGGAGGAGTTGGCCCTTCTGAAAGACTCGGTGAAAAAGCTCCGCAAAACCAACTTGAGCCTCTGCAAGTCTGCCGGGATACCAGTCGTCGCCGAGGAGACGCAACCCGAGCCGGAGGAGGGCAGCATCCGCAGCCTCGAAGACGAACTCTTGCTCGAGAAGGTCAAGGCGGAAAGACTGCAGCGGAAGGTGGACTACTTGGGGCCGCTGGTGGAGGGGCTCAAGCGACAAGTTTCGAGCGAGAAAAAAAAGGTGCGTGCGTGTTGTATACTATTTTGCAGTGATATTTTTGTTCATGTGTGTGTGCGTTGTTTATTTATTATTATGTGTGTTTTTATAATTACATAATCTGTTTTGCAGCGATATTTTTTTTCTTGTGTGTGCGCGTGCGTGTGTGTGTTGGGTATCTCTAGCTGTGTGGTTGCTTGAGGTCGCTCTGATGTCCCTGCTCCTTGTTGTTGCGTCGTTGTTGTGTGTGCTGCTGTTGGCTGTGCCGATATCACCATGTATTTGTGCGCGCCATGTGTAGTCAACCAAAATTTGTACGAACAAGCAGTTATGTGTTGTGTTTTCAAAAGAAAAAACTCCGCTGCCGCCGCCGCTGCTGCTACTCCTCCTCTCCTCGTGTTCCAGACGAAGAGAGCCAAGGCGCGTGTTGAGAAGGTCAACGCTAACGAACCGGAGGAGGAACCGGAGCAAGCGGCACCTGGGGAGGAGAAGGGAGAGGGTGGTGGGGAGTTGCTCTCTGCAGAGGACGAGAAGAAGGTGCTGATGCGCGCCATCAAAAAGAGGCTCAAACCCGGCGGAAAATTTGGTGAGACTGCTGCACGGCTGTTTAAGAGCTTCGTGGAAGGGGGGGTGTCTCTCAACATGACTCCGCAGCTGCTTCAGTCTACCGTGTTCCACGCCACGGGTGTACAATTGAAACAAGATCTCAACATCACGTGTGCGCGCAACACGGTAAAGGTTCTCGCTCTCGGCATTACGCAGCTCGATGGCGAGGAGTTGGTCAAAGCAGTTCTCAGGGCGCCCTTTTTGTTGATTGCGGGTGACGAGTCGCTCCGCAACGGGGACAAGAAGTTCCCTGTCTTCGTCGCTTTTCACGACGTGGAGGCGGACGCGCCGTGGTTTGGCCTGTTGCGCGTATGCAGCATGAAAGACAAAACGGCAGAAACGCAGGCTCAGCTGTTTTACGAAACGATCGTCGACACGCTTGGCTACCCAAAACACCAGGTGCTCTTCGTCTTGAGTGATAACACCGCATCTGTTTCCTCCGAGGGGAAGGGTTGTGTGAAGCTGTTGCAGAGAAAGCTACGGGGTGAGGACACCACCAAGAAACCCCCCACAAGAGCTACAGGGGGAGCCAGCAGCAATAGTGGTCGTGGTGTTCAGCCACGAAACGCACCGGCGGCGGCGGCGGGGCGGGCGGGGCGGGCGGTCGGGGTGGGGCCGCGGGCAAACAAACGCAAAAAAGCCAGCGGCGACGGCGCCGCCGCCGCCGCCGCCGCCGCCCCCGAGGGAACGGACAAAAGGCAACGCAAAGGCAAAGGCGAAGGGGGGGAGAAAGGGAAAGGGAAAGGGAAAGCAAAGGCGCCACCTCCTCCAGCAGCTACCAGGACGAGTGGTCGCCAAAGGACGCAGTCATTGAAAGCCAAGGAGGGAGATGGGGGGGGCAGCTCGGAAGAGAGCGGGTGTGAGAGCTGAATAATTTCAGAGGTGGTGTGCAGCTTTCAGTCGTTTGATACGTGAGCTCTGCGAAGATGCTCTCGTGCCTAGCTGCAACGTTATGTCATGTGTTGGATGCGTTGTGTTGTGTGCAGCTCGCATGGTAGTGGGGGGGATTGTTATCGTTTGTTTCCTTCGGCTTGGCGTGAGGTGTTCGACGTTTGGTTGAAGTTAAACGAAAATTAGCGCGATTTTTGATGCGTCCTCTTGCGTATGAGCACGCACGACTACACGAGTGTTGAAAAGCAAGATGGTGTGAGAGACAACATACGGTCGGTACCCGACCTTGTCGGTGCAGCCGCCTGAGCTGCAGCCTTCGCTTGTACACATGGTGGTGCACACGGAGAGGCAGAGTGAAAACATTATTTGCAATTTGCTTTTGTTCAACGTTGCAAAATCCACGTCACTCAAAACCCACGCGTCACTACGACTCCGACAATTCTGCCGCGGTCACCCGCGGCCGCCGACTCCCTTCCTTCTCCAACAGATCCAGCAAAACCTCTGCAGCTTCCGGTTCCAACACTCTTTTTCTGCTTGAGTTCTCGGCCGGTTTGCGTGCGTGGGAGATAGCCTTTGCTTTCGTTGCCTCCTTTAGAACCTTGTTGCCGGCGCCACGAATTTGGTCACCGGTTGCATCGGCGCACACGATATCTCTAGACTCCGCTGATTTCCACCTCCCAACACGAACAATATCCATCTCAGCCATGTCTGTTTTCTTTGCGCATGAGTCGTACTTCGAAAAGAAGGCCTCGATCAACTGCTGGTGAATGGGAACGAAGTAGAATCGGTGACATACCAACTGGTATAGGAGGGGAAAATCGAACAGACGCGCCAGCGCTGACGTACCCTTCGGTGCACTCTCGTCAATCTCCTTGTCACCCCACCCAGAATTCGCATACTGCTCGAGTTCACTCCTCACAGAAAGATCCCCATCAATACAGGAAAACAGCCCGAACGTCAACTCATCTTTCCTTCGTGCCTCGGTGGTTCCCCCCAAATCCTTCACGAGCTGAGTTCGGTACTCTCTCTCCCTCTCCGTGCGTGGCTCTCCCTCGTATAGACCAGGCCACGCTACATGGAGGAAAGCACGCGCAAACTCCGGCCCCACCGCCTGCTCTACAGCCCCCCCCCCCATTATTCCTGTCCGAGCGTAAAACGAGGGGCATCCAATCCGCGCCATGCTCAGAGGTAGCTCCTGATGCCGCTGCATCCACTTGATCCATCGCTCCTTGAACTCGGCAAAAAAAACCCTGTCCTCGCTGAAGTTCAACATGAATACTTTCGCCTGCAGCATCAGGACAACGCGATTGGCGACCAGTTCAAGCGGCAAAGGCATTAGTTTTATCATAGCATGACCATCTCAGCAGCAGCAGCAGCAGCGGTAGCCACCAGCACCAGCCGATACAAGCAGAGAGAGGTAGCAGCACGACGCTGAAAAACATGGCGGATGGGAGCGAGCATGGAAGAACAAAATAAATGGTGATGACGGCCGTTCGTACAGCAGCATTTCTGCTGTGCAGCGGTTGCCTTCTAGCCACAACCCCGCTATAATCCAAACTGCAATACAAAGTCCCGCCACCACTTACCATCGGGTCGCTCAGGGTAGTTCGAACGCGGTCTAGCAGCGCCGCGAAGTACGTCTGGGGATCCTTGTGGATCGTCTCCAACTTTTGGAGAAGCAGGCGTGAGAAGTCAGCCACCTCCACCAAACGCATCCCAGGAGACAGCCGCCGACCGACCCCTTCGCCCTTCAGAAAGAACCCCCCTTTGCCATGAATCCAGTTGTACGCCCAGTCGAACAACAGCTCTCCGAGCCTTGCCGTGAACATGACATGCACACGAACCAAAGGATCTCGAAGCATGCACGCCGACTGGACCCAGTAGTTTCTGAAAGTCGTCTTGTTGAGGTTTCTAGCAGCGTACTCGCAAAAAAGCCACTCGACCTGTTCCCAGCGTTCACAGAGGAGCTTGGCCCCGTCCATAACCACCATCCAACGCGTCTCAGCAGGCCTGATGAACTTGATGAGCCACGGCTTCGCGTTAGGGAACTGCGCCGCCACTACCCTTTTCCACCGCTGAAAATTTCCGTTCGACGACCCTGAGCGGCTTGTGTTGTACCAGACCATACCAAGAAGGGAGAAAACATGGTCGCGCTCCCACTCATGCCAGGAACCCTTACCAAGCGGGCCCATGAAGAGCGCGCTGGTCATGCCCGCGGTGATGGAGATGTGCAGGATGTGTAGCACACAACCGAGACGATGCGCGTGGATGATGGGGAGCTCCTCCTGGCTGCTGCTGCCGCCGCTGCTTCTGTTGTTTTCTCCAGCACGTGACGCAGCAGCAGCACCAGCAGCAGCCGTCGGTGCAATCTCACCACCCGGGGGCTGCTCGGGCGTGTCATAAGACATATGTTCTAGAGTGGGACCACGCAATGGTGTTGTGTTGTGCGCCATAGCAGGGCGCAAAGCACACAGGCGAGCCGCGCCCTCGCGCGTGTGCGTCAGACAGTCTTTTCGGGAGGTTCCGACGGTTCCGTGCAATTTCATTGGCTGGTCGATTTTCCATCAGCAAGATCCGGGGACGCTTTTTCAAATTTTTTCCTATAGGAAATTTTCCGCTTTGACACCCCTAACCGTTCCCGTTTGGGCGATCAGTTGATAGATCTCCGGCGTTGCCCCCCGTCTACACGGTTTACCTATGCAATCGACCTTTGCCCGGGATCTTTCCAGGAAGAAATTCGAAGTATTCGGAAATTCGACACGAGAACTCCGGACGATGTCAGCAGTCGAACATGCACGCCAGTGGTATCGATCAACCAGTCAACACTCATAGGGACAGAAAATGTAGCAGGTTGAGAGGCGGCCATTCGTGTTTTGTGGGTGTTCGTAGCTCTCATCCTCAAATTAATTCAAAAGCTCAAGTTGGTGATAGAGTCTGGTGTCGTCCTGGCTCTGGTATGAGCGCGGAACCTCTCCGTCTTCGCGCGTCTATTGGCGATGGCAGTAGCTGTTCTTGGTTCTGCATCAGGTTGTTCGTTTTTCTGGCGTGCCGATGATTCCTCGACGAGTTCTGGGTACGTTGATTGCAAGTGGACTGGTTTGATTGACCGTTAAGGTCAGGTCCATGGTACCGGTCGTTCGGGGCTGTCTTTGGCCTAAATTGTTTACTTTTCTTCCATTTCTGCCAAGCGTGACAACATTCAAGCCTACTTTGATTACCTTTTCACTGATTTTGTTTGCTTGTCCTGCTGCTACTCCCTGCGGCATATATTCTTTACGGTGCTTCGCAGCCGCACCATATAATGCTCAGGGCGGCGGTGGCTCCTACCCCAGCAGCGTGCACAGCAGCAGGGAAAACCTGTCACAGAGCGGCGTCGGCGGCGGGGGCGGCGGCAGCAGCAGTATCGGGTATGGCTTCTACGGGTACGGCAGTGGGAGTGCCGCCACCGCTGGCCAGGTCTCCAGTGTCGGCTCCAGCCTGGGCGGCATGGCCTTCGTAGCCTCACCCTCCTCTTGCTCCCTCGAGTCGCACGATCGCCAGAATCGTAGAGGTCCGTTCAGCTGGTTGTTGGGGTGGAGGAGGAGCGCCACCGCTGAGGCGGAGGCTGGGAGCGGGGCGGTGAGGGGTGTGAGTGACGGCAGGGCGAGAGGGCATCATCGTAGTGGTAGTGGCGGCCGTGGCGGCGGTGGTGGCGGTAGTCCGTTTCTATGGCAAGCGAGCATGGATTGCGGCAGCAGCAGCTACATCAAGGGCAGCAGCAGCAGCCGACGCGAGAATGAAAACGAGATGAGCAAAACAAGCGACGGCGGCGGAATGGGCAAGACGGTCTCGCGGTGGTGGAGACGCGTGCTTGAGGGGAGGAGAGAAGGAAGCGCCCCTGACCAGGCAGAAGAAACAGCTTCGCTGTGGCAGTCTTCGGATGCCGACGCCCCGGACAAGTGGTCCCCGGGCTTCGGCGAGCTCTCTCGAGCAGAAGTCATGTACTCGTTACGGGGATACCGTGGTCCGGCTACGAGGCAAGAACGGGCGATCAGCGACGACAGCTCACTGGGAGGTGGCGGGGCAGGAGGAATGGGAGGGGTATGGCAGGGGTATCGAAGCGAGACTGGTCCAGTCAGGTCAGTCAGGGATCTGTGTTCACGTCGGGGGCCTGAGATACTCAATTATACACCTGCTGTGGTAGCGGGAAACAGGGAGTTCACGTTTTCGAGGTGTATCGTCGGCATGGCGTTGGTGCTGTTGATTCCGTTTGTCTAAAGAGATGGGTGCCGTTTCTTATTTCGTTTCGCATAGGGACGTTTGGACTACATGGCACGAAGGCGTATTTATCCAGCTGTGTTTCGGAGGGAAGAATTGGACGCCATGGACGATTCCCCCAGATCTTGACTCCTACGCGCTCAACCCACCGTTCCTGTCGGCCCGCGTTTGTTTTTCTGCTCCCCGCTGTCTGGTTGGTGTCCTTTGTGCGGTTAAAACAAGGCAAACCCGCAGGCGGGAGGAGGCGAGCGTCAAAACGGCGGAACATAAAGGACGACAGATCCTCGCACCGCTCCGGCGCGAGACGGTCGTTCGCCAGGACTATGGCTCCAGCGGCGTCGATGGTGGCCTCGGGAAGCCCGCACGTAGCGATGATCGTCCCGCCCAAACGGTCGACGTCGGCGACGGCACCTTCTCCGAGGGGAGAGGGGGGCATGACCCAAGGTACCCCGGTGAACATGGCCGTAGCCACAGGGGTGGCGAAGAGCTTGAGAATTGGCAAGGGGGTACCGTTAGGACGGAAGTCGCTAGGGGGGGCGCACAGGTCGTCAGAGGGGGGCTTGCTGGGGGAGAGCGAACCGGCGAGCGTATGTATCGGCCATACCACGTTCCCGGTTAGTCACGTCAACAATGACGGCATCGTTGGCAGCGGTGCTGACTTGATGCATACGGGACGCAGGAGCAACGGTTGTGGTTGGTCGATGCTGAGCGATTACGCGGGCGAAGCCGAATACAATAGCGGGTAATTTGGGCGGGTGTGCGGCTCATTGTTGTCACAAAAAGTTGGTACCAGTGCTCTGCCTCCTGCTGCACACTGGTATCAGCGCTCCATACTTTCTAGAATATATCACGTAGTATTTACTGTGGGGAGCCGCCGAGTGACGCGGACTAGGCACGCTACACCGACCAAGACACAAATTCTAATGTGTTTTAAGTGTGAAATGGCAGGCGGCGATTAATGATAGCTTTTGCCCTTCTACACCTCATGTGGCCATCTTGTTGAGCTTACAGGTTTAGCTTCGGTTCCGGTAGTTTCAAGGCAATTCAAATATATGTGAAGCGGTAGCTACGTGACCCCGATTGAACGGTCGGCCTAGAATATGTTAATGCCACTCGTGAAGTGCATCCGTTTGTCGTGTTTGTGCGAAGTGTATATATCACACGCGAAGAAGGGAGGGAAACTCGGACGTTTGTTCACGGTTGAATGCGATATGGCGCAGCACGTTTTTTTTAACGCACGCACGGTACATTTTTTGGCGAGAGAAATGAGAAGCGCTACCACGTTGCCCGCCTTTCCTCCTCCTGTCACGGGCTTCCGTCAGGGAGACGTCGTGGAGGCGTCATCCTCGTTTTTTGGCGATAGGGCATCGTGATGCTTCTCTCTGGGCATTTGGTTTTGTACCGTGAGCCAATCCTAACTGTGGCATCAGTAGAAAAAGGATGTCTATTTTTTAACGTTTCATCCACGGTTTTACGTGTATTATACGTATGAGGTTTTGGGAAGGGCGTGCCTGTATCTGGGCTGTGGCGTCGGTCGTTAAATCCGCAAGATCTTAATATTTGTTTTGTGCAGGCGATAGCAAGCTCGATAAGCTGATACGGAGTGACGGGCTCTTCATGCACCGATGTGTTTGGATGCCGACACGACGCTCCGTTTTGCATCGGCCCACGTCGTTGTTGCGGCGCGATGACGTCAAGTCCTTACGATGAAATGTGAAGGCAAGTCTATCCCGTATCGTCAGGGGAACGGAGAGATCTATGCACGTCATTCAAATTCGGTGTGAGAAACAACCCACCCCTGGCCGGCATTGCATTCGAAATCACCCACTTATGCCCCATGGAGCAGGACAAGTAAAAACACCAGACGCACACCTCTTAAAGTGCCATCACATCATGAATCAGCCAAACACAAGTTATTAAAACGGGGGTACAGCTACGGTAAAAAATCAGAGACGACCACTACATGTAGACAATGACCACAGCGACAACATACGCAACCATGTAGAGATCCTTACGGATAAAACTGTTGACTCACCACCACATATACGGCTTACGCCATCGAACTCCCGATACTGCCATCGCCAAAAAAATGTTATCATCACCAACTCACGGAAAACGTGGTTCACCTCTGCTCGAGCAAGGCGCTAGGTACGCGAACACGCAGATGTTGGTTATCCAGCAAGACACTCAGCACCAAGGGGGAACCTCCTGTGGTCTGGCGTGGCTATTCAATCGCGCCATTCTCCAACGAACTCCGCTTGCTCTGCCGTCGATCTTCGCCCCCCGCCACGACTACCACCCCACGAACCTTTCCGGCATTTCTTGTTTCGTGCCAGCCTTTGGTCGCCCGCGGAAGATTTTCGCCTGACGGCACCCCGTGCTTCGTCGTCCGGGAACAGACAGTCGTAGGGCAGGGGCTGCCCGCGGGGTCTCACTCCCCACCGGGTGTTGTCGGGAATGATGGAATCTCTCTCTGCGTGATGGTTGGATCCGGGATGGGGTCAACAAAGGGCGGCGGCACGTGATAATCGGTGCGGAAGAAGTCACTTTCGGTGGTATATTTGCCATGTTGGAGGCCACCACAGCAAAGGTGACTTCTGTGGCCGACGCGCTTCGTACGGCGCTGGAAGATAGCGTCGCGCTGATGAAAAAGTCAAGTGCGGTCTGTCTTCTGGTCTGGCGCGGGTGGTAAAGTGCCGGGGGACTAGTCTGAGCTATGCTGATACTACTTCCCGGCCCGCCATATCGGCATGAAAAACAGCACCAACCAGAGTTGTTCCACGGGCGTGATAAACTAGTTTCAGGTTAAGCGTACAGCCCTACGGAGTGCCGGGAAGCTTGTCACTACCTACGACTCAACGGCACCATCAATAAACAGCCCACCACCGATGTCTCCTCTGAAATATACAGGTTGGTGGAACAAGTTTGTTGACTGACAAAAAAGAACGCTTCCGGAAACAATTCAGACTGCGGTGAGCTTTTGAACCAAGGTTCACCGCAACATGAACAACTCCGCAGTGAACAACGTTGTGTGTCAGGCCACAGAAAGGCGAAGTAACCTCGAAAAAGTAAAAATGTGAAAATACTACCCCAATACTCACCGGTCAAGTACAGTCTGGACAGTTCATCGTCACCACGGTCCATCGCATCCGCCGCTTCCACGCTCCGAAACTCGAGGTGGAGATTCTCGGCACTGGTGATGCAACGGCGTAACAACGCCTCTCGCCTAAGCTTTTTCGCAACCTTAGCCCTCTCTAGCTTTTGTTGTACCCCCTCCACCCCCTCACGCCCGACAGCAGGTTGACCCTTGGCTGGTGCCCCTCCTCCTCCGGCCCCGCCAACACAAGACTCTCTCCTTGTTTTCTCGAGCTCACCCCCGACAAGCGTCCCCGAAGCAGAAGCCCCTGCACCGGCGCCCTTTCCCGAGGATGGGCACGTATTGACGGCACTTCCAGATGTACCCCGAGGTGGCAACAATGACGACGATGTGCTGACTCGAGCAGACTGGCTCCCGGGGGCTGGAGGACCAGCTGCTACCACTCTCGGTAGAGATGAAGACTCATGGGTGCCTGGAGGAGTTGGCGTTCTCTTCCCTCCATTTAGTGCACGACCGGGGGGCTGCGTTGGTTGCGTCGACTGTAATGCGGGGACCATCGTAGCTGGAGCAGTAGCCGTAGCAGAAGGCAAGGCGGCGGGCGTGCTCCGGCTGACAACGGCTGAGACGGGTTGCGGCAACGGCCCCGTACCGGCCATTGCAAGGGGTGGTGGTGCCTTCTCGCTCGAAGAACTCAAGCTGGGCTCGAGTCTTTCGCCATTGGTCGACGTTGAGGGGGTAGCGTCACCACGCGAGGCTGCCGCGCCGTCCACGTGCTGCTGTTGTGGTAACATCGGATTATATCGCCCATCGTTACCGGAAGCAACAGTGGGGCGCTGGGCCGCCTGGAAGGTTGAACCCGTTCTTATCGCGCCCCCCCACGAGCCACGCCACATGCTAGGCGTTAGAACAGCGCGGATCTGTGCCTCGTATGATGTTGCCTCCGTACAAGTTCCAGGAACGGCCGGCTCCCGGCCGGGATGGTGCAACGGGGCCAGCGGGAATGCCAAGACTGCCGCGGACATATTGCAAGCCTGTGGCACTCTTGGTGGTATTCCGGTGAAGCTGGCGCTCGTTGATGATGCTGTTGCGCCGGCCGAACTACACGCCGATTGTCCCGCCCCGTGCGTCGATGCCCACCTTCCAAAAGACGCGACTTGGGCGCGCGCGTAAGCATGTGCAGCTGCCGTAGCCTCAGCAACGGCCCCCACCACTGTTGGGCGGTGCAAATGGTGCGTCGCTGCAGAGACAGGAAGGTGAGCCCACATGTTCTGTATCTCACGGCCATGACCAAGCTGCGACATCGCTTGAGTCGATGTTACCACCACATGCCCAGGCGGGTCTGCGTGTGACGGCATTGCCGAGGAAGCCGTCGTCACGGCATGGCTGACATCGCGTGCCGCCATGCTTACCGATAAATGCTCTGCAGTACATCCCGAGGGGCCGGCGGGTGTTGTGTCCTTTGAATCACTCCCAACAGCTGTTGCTGCTGCCGCTGCTGGTGCTGCCGCGGCTTGTTTCCCCGCTACAGCAGTTATTGGAACCGCAGCAGTTGCCGCAGCTGCTGTTGTCGCCGCAGCCGCTGTTGCCGCCGACGCCGCTGGTGGTGGTCGTTCGGCCTCAGCTGGCGCGACAGCTGCTGCCTTCACTACCTTGTCCTCTTGCCGCTGCACCACTTCTTGCATTGTCGCAACAGCTTCCGGGGCAAGGTGACGAGGCGAGGCGACGTCCGAGTCCGCCTGCGACACACCCTTGTCGACATCTGTCGTGTCCACACCTGACGCCGACTCATCCACGGCATTGGGTGGACTGACACTTTCAGCGATTTTGTTGCGCTTCCCGCTCCCAACGCTGGTCGACCAAGGAGATACTGGGTTCTCCGTACCACCCTTTCCCGCTGCGAGTCCAGCAGGCGACAACACTGGAGCTGCCGATGCGTCCAACGCCGCCTCATCTCTGCTCCGCTTCCCGTTGAAAGCAGCGGTAGCCGGGGGTCCTACCCCTGTCAGCGCTGGTTTTGCTGGGAGTGATGCTATTTCGAGAGAGAGCAATAGTGAAGGGGAGCAAAGGGGGACCATCCCGGGCACCGTGGGGGGGAAAAAAGCAACGTATTGAGAACTGAACGGTGCATTACAGCAATACGACACGAGAACACGCACCGGAAAAATGTTGGCGATTAATCATCGATCTTGTTGCTGTCGTGGTGCGTATGCTATCTTTGTAGCCCGGTTGATAAGTTCAGGTCGCGGGAGTCGTGCAGGGAAGGTGTTAATCATGGGGTATGACGTTTAGCTCAAGTGCCAGACTTTGTGCCAGCCTCAGATATTCGTGGCTCCAACATTGCTTGAAGCTGAGCAGGGTGTCAAAATGTCGTGTCCAAGGCATGTTTTAACCTGTTTCAAAGACATCACTGGCTCGACTAGAATCCCGTCTGAGTCGAAACATTGCCAAACACCCTCCATCCATGATTGGACAAGTTGTTGTGCACGGGCCAATTATTCTGCCTGCATAGCCACACCACGGCCTGTGTACACTCGCTTGAATCCAAGCCTTGTGTGCAAAAACGAGAGCCGGAGAAAGTTTAACGGTAATAAAATACCGAAAAACCATTGAAAACACAAGTGAAACGAAGGCAAAGCAGTATTGACTACCAATGCATACCTTGGGCCGCCGTTTGTCTATCTCCGCTGCTCCCGTCTCGCTTTTTCGCCATCCCTACCCCTTCGTCCTGCCGCTTTCCCGATACTACTGCAGCCAACGTCACCGTCGCCACTGGACTAAATGCTCCCTGTTTGGGGACTACGTCCCCCTTGCTCCAGAGGCATATGCGGCAGGCGCTCAGATCATTGTTGACCCACCCTACACCGCCGCAGCTGGGGCAGACTTGGTTGTCATCCTTCTCCGCCGAACTGGAATGCGACTTCGAAGGGGGAGCCGCTGCTGCCGTTGGCACGGCATCTGCGGTTGCCCCTGTGAGTTCGTTCTGGTTTTCAACAGGGCCGGCCACGGCATCTTCGTTTGCCCCTGCGGAACCGTTGTGGCTATTAACGGGCTCGGTTAGACCCGCCGCCGCTGGGAGTGGCGCTGGAGCCGCAACCACGCGACGGTCGAGGCACGATGCTTGCTGGTCAGTGTTCTGCTGCTGCGGCGGCGAACATTGACCAGCGTGCTGCTGGTGAGGCGAAGATGGCGATCGGTCACGGTGCTCAGGCTGGTGCCCCGGACGGCTAGCTTCATCCTCCAGCTGCGGCGCTGCTCCTGACGACGGTTGACTGGCGCATGGCGAGGTGGCTACAGCCTGCGCGCAAATGCAACAAGGGTCAAGATGGGGAGGGTTTGTCAAGCTTCGCACAAGACATCGCAACAATAAACGCACCGGAGGCCCACCCGTACCTTCACAGGAAGCACACGAGACGTTCCCCGAAAATCCAAGCACAGCATAGGGTGCCGAGCGGGAAGGGAAAGACTTGCAAGACATTCTTAATCTCCACGCCTTGATCGATCACTTCGTTCGTTTGCTACTTTCCTGCAGGCATATCTTCGGTAGCAGCATTCTGCCACAAGAAATTGCGCTCGTTTTTCGTGTAGGTTCGAGAAGGAGCACCCAATCAAAGCCAAACCTTAGTGAACGTGCACCAGATACCAAACAAATCGAAAAGCTGCCCGTGGAAAATAAGAACACCTTGGCGCAGTGCTCCGCAATTGTCCAGAACCATACGCATGGGGAACGTGCCAAAATATGTTTTCAAGTCCCCCCGTGTGCAGCGTACCGCACCATCAACCGCGCGTAAGAGATATTGCGCACAAGTTGACGTCCTGAGATGCAGTGCGTCTTTCGTGTCTCCAAAGACGTCAGAAAACACTCACAGGGTTATTGCTCTGTCCATATTCATTCCGGAAATGCCCAGCCACCAAACGAACGTACCTCTGAAGCAGCGGAGGCAGTTCCCTGGAATAGTAACTGTTCGGCGCGACTTTCGCCACGCTACTCATGCCAGAGGCGGAGCGACAGACATAAAATAAGGCGCAAGCAAGAGAGTATACACAAGGCGAAAAGCATCAAGTCCTTACCTCAGGGGCGGCGTCGCGGTCGTGAATCGCTGGACCTTTCGGTACAGCAAGCGGGTTGTCCCCCTCAGCAAGCTGCGACACGCCACTTGGACTATCTGACACGCTCGGCCCGGTTGGTGGTTGAGGAAGCGCCCCTGAAAAAGCGGTCGACAGGTCCGAGACATGCGTAAGCGTTCATCTGCCAGGGCAATTTCACAACCTCTTCTCAAACGCAACATCCCGGTGCCGGGTTTCGTGCTTCAAATATCCAATATACAGCAACACCAACCAACAGCAAAACAACATTGTGAGATTTACCGCAAAACAAGGTACTGAAAAAACTGCACCGTACAGCCTCGAAACCTTGGAATTTTGAAGCTACGTACAACCAACCTGGTTGTGCTGGTTGCCGCGGTCTCTCCTTCACCCCTCCACCCTCCAAACCTGCAACCCCCGAATCGACACCAGCGCTAATGTCAGAGCTGTCCATTTCAGCAGCAGCCCTTCCAAGCGCATTGCCATCACGGGAACTCGACCCCATCAGCTTCTCGCGAATCGCCCCAAAGTCTCCTTGAAGTTCGTCCCAGCTCTTCGGTTCGATGGAACTCGACTTCCTGGCGACCGTCAACGCGTCTTGGAGGCGTTCGGCGATGGGCCACAGCACCCGCTTCGCCTCGCCCATGTTGTTCCCTGCCCCGACCTTCACCGCGCGATCAAGCAGAATCAAGGCACGCTTGAAGCCACTCAAGGATTCATGCACCTTTCCGTGTGCTGGTGTTTTCACCGCCTCCACGGCCCCATCTCCTGGACCAGCTTGAGCGCCCTGAGAGCTTCTTCCTGCTTGGCCCGGCGCCACCGGCGACTTGGGTGTCGTCAACGACATGGGCTCCAACGAGCTTGATGTTGCAGCGAAAACGCTGTCGGCCTTGGTTGCAGCGCTGCTGGGCCCCTCGCGCGCTGCGGGTTCTCCCTCACCAAGGATCGGCCTCGTTGATGCTTCCACGCTGGATGCATGCTCCGTACACGTTTTTCCTGGACTCTCTTCGCCCTGCCGCACGCAAGCGACTGCCTCTGATTCTTTCGTGCCCGTGTTGGTGTTGGCAGCCGATACATGAGTAGCAGAGGTCGTTTTTACGCCCTCTTGGGAAATTCCAGAGGTGCTCACTGCAGTAGCAGGCACCGGTGGGGACGCTGCGGCGATTCCAACATCACGCTCAGCGGCAACGATGGATGGAGCGGGTGTTGTAGCGGAAGCGGATGTTGAATGATTCGCACCAGGGGCATGTATCCCCAGAACATCATGAATCGAATATGACCACGATTTCGCCGATTCCATCGTCGCCGTCGCGACGGCGCCCTCGTCTGGTGGTTCGGCAGATTCAGTCGTTGTTGCCATGGTGGCAGGCACTGCAGAAACCATGAGTTCCTTGAGCATCGCGGGATCCCTGCCGTGGGCGACCGCTTTCAACGCCAACGCCCTTGACACGTCTTCATTCGACAGCGCGGCGTAGTCCTCAGCCGAGGTGGTCATACAAGCGCTACACTTGGAGCCCTTTCCACGCAGGAGGGGAATCGAGACGTGCACGGTCAGGTCGGCAAGAAAGCTGAGACCTGACCGTGGAATCAACCGTAGCTCTAGGGGGCCCGGCCCAAGGGGGTCCTTGATAACCCGCCTGTGGGGGCGGTAGGGGAGGACCTCCCCGCACTTCAAAACACGCCAAAAGGGGCGAAAGGAGGGTGACAGCCGAAAACGAAAGCACGGAGGGGGTCACAACGTGCCGCGTATTCTAGCGAAAAACTGACGCTGCAGAGAAAGCGAACATATGTGGATCTGCAACTGGTGTGCGGATGAAGTTCCTTATACTCGACAACGATCAACACAAACAACCACAAAGCTCATTGCTGTGAAAGGCAAAAGAGGCCATTCAACATACAGTGCTTCGATCGCAGCATCAAAAAAAAACGGCACAAACGGCTGCACTTCATCGCAATGGCTTTCTCATCACATGTGCAGACAATGGCATGCAACCATCCAAGGGCTTGCGCGCAGTGTATACGACAACACCTTGCATGGGGCGGTTGACGGGTGACGAACACCAACAACCAAATCATCCCTAAACGTGTTGTAAGCGTTTCAGTGTATAAATACATAAATAGTCCAGCCGGCCAATTCACAACAATAAATTCCGCACACGAAGGCAGCACAAACAACACCCACCAAGAGCACCCGTTGTGTGGTACTCGCACAATTCACAAAAACAGCTAAAGAATGGACCGTGGCAACAAGTGAGAGGCAATTACGCCGGTTTCTCCTCGTTTTTTCCTTCCGCAAACATGTGGGCAGAAGAGCAGCTTCACAGGGAGCAACACGTCGCAAACAACTTCCAGCACAACTGGCAGCAGTACGCAATCGAATCCGAACGATAAATTACATAACAACTGCTGATTCAGCTGAGACGAATGTCATCTCGCTGCATTTTGGTCAACCAACTGCAAGAACACCATCGCGCAAGTATTGAGGCACGCACCCCAATGCAACAAGCTTCCCCCGCGGGGAACAGATTGTCCGGAATGCAGAAGTGCTTGATTTCAATCGGCTGCTCCGAGGGGTCCTCGCACACTCCGCCGCCGTTCCACCGATTGGAAGCTGTCACGTATAGCGTGTACCTCCCCGGCTTGCTCAGCGTCGTGAGAAGGTCCACCGGCTTTGCGTCTCGATTACCAAGCGTTACCATTTTCGCTGGCGGCACCTGCAAGTTTTACGATGGTAGATGATAGATGATAACGCACAAGAGCCGGGGTCAATTGTCGTAAGACCGCAGGTCCGATCATAAACGATAACATCAACCATCACGACGGGTTGAGGTTACGCCGAAAGTACACACACGAATGGAACGGCTGCTGAAAAAGTGGCTATAGGAACGAGCGCCCTCTCACAATGCGGAAACGACGAAACTCTCTTCAATTCCGGCGGCAGGTACACAGAGAAGAAGTGGAGGCAAGATACTAGACTAAATACATGTTGGACAAGTTCCAATGCTCGGGAGACATCAACCAACCAACGCTTGGTGCTGAATGGCTCTGCACTGGTGAGCGGCGTGTCCTACCGCATTCATAACACAGCATTTTCCCGCGCGGCCGAGGAAATTGAACAGCGCGAAAACCAGGTCGTGACACTCTGTTTTGAGTCACATCGATGAAAAACACGCAACCTATTCATCACCACGGTACACATTGGCCCCTGCTCCAATTGAAGGCGAGTCGGACACAATCGTAATCGACCGGAAGACGAACACATGCAACAGAGCGCAACATCCGCGCTTTCGCGAACCAGTTTGCCTTGAACCTCCAGAGAAAAGGAAAAGCGACCAAGGACGTGCAAAACCTCACCTTGTCCTGCGTGGGAGCAGGCCCGATCACCTGCAGGTACAAGTGGCAAGGTTTGTGGAGGGGCCCGTTTCGGGTTTTCGCCGTTCCTGCTGCCGGATGCTTGCGTAAATTCACAGACGCCTCCTGTCGCACGCTCGGCACTTGACCCTGGTTGGCGCTCGCCGGAGCCGCCGCGACCGGACTCGGAGCATCCGGGACCTTTACTTCGGAAGCGTTGGCTACTGTATCTTTCGTAGTTGCAGGTGATTTCACCGTAGTTGGTCCTTTTCCGACAGTCGTGGTCGCCGCACATGACCCGTTTACGTCTTGAGATGTAGCTGCTGCGGCTGCTGGTTCAACTGCTGCCACAACCGGGGGTGATTGTGCATCGTTCGTGGTTACAGGAGACCCCACCGCGTTAGGTTCTGTTCCAACGTTCGTCACCGGACACGACACCCGTGCATCTCGGGCTGCAGCTGCTGTTGCAGCTGCTGCAACTGCCGCTACTACCAGAGGTGACGCTCTCGCTGTCCCCATCATCGTTCTGGCATCCGAGAGAGAGATAACCGCCTTGTCGCTGTCACTGACCCCCTCACCAGCAATTTGTCCCATCGAGGGGGTTCCACGCGACCCCTCCTCAACTGGAGTGGCTGACGCTGTAGCAGGAGTTTTTGCAATTTCTATTGATTTGCCACGCTCCCTAGACTCGTCAGCACGCTCTGCCGTCGCCGTGCCGCCGAGCTTGTGGCTGGCATCAACTCCAAGACCGATCTCCGTCAATCGGCCGCAAAACATTCCTTTCGAAGTTGACTCGGCACCGTTCCCTGCCGGTTGAACACCATCAGGGGGAAATGATTTCAAGGCTTCCATCCTAATGGCGTCGCCAACTTTCACCGGGGCATCATCACCCGCGGGCCCGGTAGAGATTGAGCTTTGGCTTGCAACAGCACCGAGTGCGGCCTTCGGCAGTTCCGATAACCCAGCGGGGTTGGCAACGTGCCCAGCGGCCATTGCTGCCTCCTCATCTCTTTCCTCGGGTATATTAACTTCCGAGTCTAGACTGGGCTTCGACCAAGTCTCTGGGGCTTTAGCTGCGCTATGAGCCGTGCCGATTGCGGTGTGCGTACTTGCTTTTGCGGCAAGAAACTCTTTTGACTCGCTTGCGGCCTCGTCTCCGGTTTCGTTTTCTACCCCCAGAGTGTCATCGGAAGGGGCAGCGCCAGCAGTACGTTTCACAGCGTTACCGCCACCTCCATTGACAGCAGAACCAACGCCGACATCAGAAACGCCAGGGATGGGAGTGGAAGACCCGGCAGCGCATGCAGCGGTAAGAGCAGAAGAAACAGTATCAGCCCGGGGAGATATTGACGGGTTGCCCCCTTTGTTGACTACAGCCTTTGCGGCACGGTTGGGTAAAATTCCTGATGGCTTCCACGTTGAACAGTCGGGCAAATCCTTCCCCTCGGTAGTCCCGGTCGATGGTGGAGGCGACCTTGACCCTATTGATGGTGGAAGCGACCTTGCGTCGTTCTCACTGCCGTTGCTGCTTTCGATGGCCACACAGTCAGGGCCCAACTCAGGACCAAGTTCGGGACTGCAATTGGGGCCAAACTCAGGAGCGAGTGCGGAATCAACGTCGGATCCGCCGGACCCTCCACCGTTCTCTGGAGCAGTAAGAGATGTATCCTTCTCTCTGCAGGGACCTCCTACGGCCACCGCCGCTCCCGAAACGGCGGCTTGGCTATCGCCACCGTTGCTGGAAGAGGCAAGCCCATCGGAATGGACTCCTTTCACTGTTCTGCCCACCTCTGGTGAATAATCCATCGCCACTGGTATATCTGTCGCGGAAATCTCACTGTCAAAGCTGAGATCAATCGCAGAAGATGCGCCTTCACCCGGACTCTCCCCCGCGGGAGGTGCCTCAATCACTGCTACCGCTGAATTGCCAGCATCGTTGTTGGCAGAGCCTGGGTTACCGGGCGGCATATTCCTGCGTCGGGTCGGGGTGAAGTTCGCGAAACGTGCGTCTTGCGTAGCGCACAGGATATCTGAAGATGAACAATCGCTATCCTCCTCAAGGGTCGACGATCTATTCGAAGCGGCTGCCAACGTTCCCGCACCAGATGCTGCAGGTGACTCGGCCGTTTCGGGCCCAGTGAGATCTATTGCCGACCACTCTGCTGCGTCATCTCTCTCTGAAGTCATGTCTACCACATCACTTCTTGGCGGCGGAATGTGTGACGATGCCATTCCCATTCAACTTGGTCCAGCGGTAGGCGTAAATCGAAAATGTGGGATGAACCTGTTGAGCACAAACGAGGAGTGGAAAAGGGCGGGGGGAGCGCGAGGCTTTCGCTGTTAAACGCTACATGCCAAGGTTGACTAAAGAATCACCGGTAACTACTTATGCACAACCAAAGCTGGACCAAGAAGGCAGTGTAGGCGAGGAAAAAGTTTACCGCCCGAACTGGGAAAGGCTCCATTCTTTGTACATTCTGAACCACCAGCACGGCTGGTGCAGCGCCATAACACGGACCACCTCGAGAGAGTTAATTGTCACGAGATAAACCCAAGCTGGCTCTCGTGAAAATAAAACATGCCCGACGTTTGCGTAGTTGGCCGTCCTCGGTTGCACAAGTTGCGAATAGGTGCCCGTGGACAAAGCAGAGCACTGTGAATATGTCGAAAGTCTGGGGCTCCCGGTGTGCCTCGACGGGTGAACGAAAAAGACCTAGATGTGATCGAAGCAGTCTGTCACGGACCATAGAGTGCATGATGTCCTTCAGCATTCGAAAAAGCAAGACTGGGGCGGGTTCGCAAGAGAGGCAGGCACTCTAGTCTGTTGCGGACCAAAGTTTCATTGTCCTCGGGCGCAGAGCATAGAGGCTTTTTACCCTTGTTGCAAAATCAATATTTTTCCTTCGGTCGGCATGTCAGACCGCACCTGACCGGAACGTTTGAACCCTGACGCCACGTTCAGGCTTGAGTTCACGACCAAAAAATTCTTTAGCGCTCACTGAGAGGGTAGAGTTGTTCCTCTTCCGGCCACTTTTCCGGCCCAAAGTCTGGTGGCGCCAAGAGTGGATAACAATTATTTCTTTCCGGAGCCAAACAGAAACAACGTCGGTGAATGAAATGGGGTCTCTACTTCCACACACAACGTGTACCCACTTTACCCCTACTCTAACACATTAAACCTACATCGTCGAACTTCGATCGAAATTTAGAGAGAACGACGAATCGAGAGGGTTGTCGCGTGTCGATGTTTACGTGACTGGCGTTGGAAATATGTGTGTGTGCTGCTGGTGTACGCATGTCGCTCCCCACCGACTACCGAATCTCACATATATACCCACCACGAGCAAAGTGGGTGATTTTCGTCCGAATATCTCGTGCCTTTGGAACACACATGCATATTGTTCACACTTGCTTGGCGCGTCACAAGCGGATTGTTCGCGTATGGTTTGGCCAAGTAATCACAGGAGGAGTATCTGGCATCTTCCAAAATAGAGGCTTCAGAAAAAAGTGAGCTACTGGGCTTTTTGTACCGCGTGGTAGCACCTCCACTCCAAATATGTTTCTTCTCATTCGACAACAACAAACACAGGTTATCATTTTGCGTACATTCTCGTCACTTAACTCTACCAATACATACTCCTATGGCGAAGATGCTTACAGAGTGGACAGATCAAGTGTTCCGGGCTTGCTCACGTAGTTCAACAACACTTGTGGAGTAGATAGATCAACCTCTATTCAAGGGGACAGACCGGGTGCCTTCGTTTAGATAATTGTAAGGGGCGACACGTACCGTAGACGATAAACCACACCTCGGTGGTAACATTTTGGGCTCAAGAAGTATCATCGCCGGATGTGGTATCCTGTGGGACGTGTGGTACCTTGTGTAGCCCGGGCGATAAAGTGCTGCTCGCAGGGGCCCCTACGGAGTGTGATAGCAGTCCGAACACCCACAGGGTGTGTTTGAGGGTGTGATAATGAGGGGGGGGGGAGGGGAGGGGGGTATTCATAGTCGTGCATGCCGTAGTCGTTAGACCATTGACCTCGCATCCCTACAAAGCCGGGACGGAGCACGCCGGGTTCTCACCGGACCAGGCTCTCACATCACCAAGCGCGAAGCGCCGTGAGATATTCGGCGAGTCGCATGAAGGGTGCGCTGCATCCTGCTAAGGTTATCGGCATCTTGTGCTTACTTCCTTGCGTACGGATGACAGCCTGCGTATG